GACTCAATTTTATGCATTAGATCACAAGTTATAATCGGCAAAAATTACGCCAATTAGTATAACGAAAATCACGTGGTTCAATACTTTTGACCAGGGAGTGTACATACGTTCATGTGAAAATTATATACTGTCTAAATCCAATATTTGGTTCCAATGGTATAAAATTGGATTGGTCCAATCCAAATAACTTTGAACAAATATTACTCGAGCCATTTTAGTACGCCAATAAAATAATTTAATTACGTTTAATTACTGGAGATCCATTATGTAATTTTCGTATATTTGTACGTAAAAAAAAATTATAAAGTAAAATTTTACATAAAAGTTGCATTAATAATAAAATATATATATAGTTTTTCTCCCGTAAAATCTTAAAATATGATACCGATAATTTATTTATTTATTCAGTTCTAAAAATTATCGAAAAAAAAAAACGCCGGCATTCGCTAATATTTGAAAATTTATCAAATTTAATTATAAACATTTACTTTTTCTTTATATTTAACACAAATGAATTACTATTTTAAAGTTCTATTTATAATTATCAGATATATTTTATTGAATTCATTGAATTCATGACACAGAAAGACAACAATCTTTAAAATTTAAAACAAAATAAAAACTGTTGAATCCTATTTAAAAAATCAACAAAAATCTAAAAGCGATTTCATGAAATTTCTATAAATTCAGATAATTTTTGCCCTTTTTTAATCTATCTTTTTTTTAAAAGAACAAAAATAAAATAAAAAATAAAAATTCGATATCTCATACTCACAATGTTGTTAACAAAAGCTACTACATTAATTTGTGCTATTACGTCATCTGTAAACGCTTCTCCTATACAATCTGAAATTGTTGAGAACCCAGGTAATAAACGAGATATTAATGAACACGAAGATAACAATTGTTCTCATAAATCGATTTCCAAAAAAAAAAATTTAAACTATTTCTTATTTTTCAATCTTGTAGAATTAGAAGTTAGAGGTCCCAGTCGAGGTCGTGGTCGTGGTCATTGTAAAAATCACTGTAAAGGACGTCGTAAGTGTTTTAATTTTATGTTTTAACGTTAACGTTAATGTAATATTTTATTGAACTAATTTTATTATTATTATTTAGATGGAAAGAAATAAATTCAATATATTTACTTTAAATTACGACTTTTAATCATTTACTCATAATTACAACTTTTAATCATGTACTCATAATTACAAATTTTTTGTTGGCTCGTTTAATAAAATATTTTGAAATAAATTTACAACTGTCACGTCCTCCTTCTGTATGTTCAAAAGTAATGTTTTGAATATGTTGAAGATTAAGTTTTATAATTCATGCTTACTTTAATTGTTCTTACAAAATTGTTGATTTAACGTAACGTTAATAAAGTAATTGAAGATGACCGGACTTTTTACAAGAATTCTTTCATATGTAAAGCCTTTTAATTAGTTTATTGTATTTTATTTAGACCGTGATATATGAATTGGAGTTAAAATCGAATTAATAGATAATCAAATGGAAACTAAATTTTTAGTGGCGCAGAAAGTGTGGCCTGAGGTTACCATCAACTTCATTTCTTCATCTTTGGAAATTAATTAGATTTGAGAAAAACATAATCTGATTGTTATAAAAAAACTAATCGAAAAACCAACGAAGTATTAAATCCAAATGTGAAAGTATCTACTGCAGGACTGTATATAGTAAAAAAAAAAAGCCTAAAAGAAAATAATAAAAAAACCTATTCCATCTGAAGTGATCCAACTAGAAAAAGGAACATATAATAATAAACATTTGAATGACTATGGCCCGATAAAACTAAAAATTAATCGAAAGCACATATCGCATACTTCCGAAACAATCTAGATGGAAAGATGATTCTAATTACTTTATTAATAAAGAGTAATTTTTTAAAAATAAATCGAAATAAATAATTGCTTGATCGCTGCAGAAGAACCAAAAAGTAATAAAATAATGAAACAATTGGAATTAAATACGCATTTCTTTATACTTCCGAATTGATCAAACATGATAAAATAAAACTGGAAACCAGATATGTTTTAACAGTAATAGAAGCTTTTAAAAATATTGCTACAAATATAGAATATCAGTTTTTACTGAAATTATCACAAAATTTACTTGAATGTTTAGAGGGTGACGAATATTACGATGTTACGATTAAAGTTGGAAATGATCCGTATGTAAAAGTATTTCGTGCTCATATGATAATTTTATATTATCGTTTTCCGTATTTGCAAAGGATTTTGTCCACCAATGTAAAGAAAAATGATGGAACTTTGGTACATATTAAATTACCAAATATTTTACCTGAAAGTTTTCAGATAATTGAGTAATTAAAATTGGGTCCAGTTCATTTCATCAACAAACGTTTTACCGACAATTATTTTACCGACAAACACTTCACCGACAGGATCGTTTCACCAACAAATGTTTCACTGACGATTATTTCACCGATACAATCATTTCGCCGACATAACCAAATATCAAGAAAGCAGCACAATAACCATATCTAGCGGCGACGAATTCGCCGCACACCAACCTAATCTAGTTGTAAAATTAATTACAGTGCAGGCTAAGGTTAGGTATGATTAACGTCGATCGATAAATCGATTGACCAGTTTCTAAAGCACATTAGTCTATAAGTTTTGAGTAAGAATGAATGAGGAAACTCTCGTCATAACGTTTATCCCATTTACAGTATCTTTCATATTTGTTTCTAATTATAAAATAAAATTATACGGCTGTTTATGATTATTAAATTTTGGCCGTGCCGTGGAGTATTTAAACTATGATCATGATATTACAATAATATATTATTATTTATGATAACTTCTAAATATTGATAAAGCTTTTCTTAATTTATTAAAAAAAAAGAAAGGAATGAAAAATTACTTTCCTCATCTTAAATATTATCAAGTTTCTTTTATTTTTCTCTGAACTTGTCGAAAGCCATTTAAATTAAAGCCTACATGTTTTGATCGATAGATCTTCCCACTCTATATAATTGTCCAAAAAATGATATCGAATGCAAATAATCATGAAATTATTATATTTTCCCTTTATAAAGTTTCGTAATTTCCCTATCTAATACTCGAAAGACATAAAGGAGAAAATGATTTGTTAGAATAAGTCATATTATATAACGCTTTACATTGACTATTAATATAATGTAAAATGATTATGAACCTAATTTCCAAATTTTGTTGCAATATCTTCAAGAATGTATAATTAAGTATCAGGATGAAATTCTAAGAATAGTTTTGTAATATATTTATCGGATTAAAAGCACCTATAAAAGAGATCTGCAATAAATAGTTCCCATGTCGAAAGATGTTATAATGAATAAAAACTTTTAGAAGTATGATACAGGTACTGTAGGTGTTAAATTATTGATTTCCATTTTTCATTTTTTTATTTAAATTTTTTAAGTTTATTTTTTTTTTTTTATTTTTACTAACTCAAATTGTTAACTTGTTAATAGATTAGATTTATTTTTCCAATTTGCTGATTTTCTTACTTTTTTTTTTTTAAAAAAATTTCCTCTTTCGAGTTCATTCGTTTCAGGTTGAATAATAGATTGGTTTTTTTTTTTTTATAGTTCTCGAGCTATTTTTTAAAATTTATTTTTTTTATTTTTTTTGGTAACGGATTCTGATTGGACCGCTTCGAACTGCTAAAGTTACGAGAGTCTAGAAATTAGGTTGCTCAGTATATCCTGAGTATTATAATATCTAAGTGAAAAAAATTTTAAGTAAAATGGATCGGCTCGGGTGGGGTTTGAAACATATTCGAACTCATTAATATTTACAGAACTGAATTTGATTCGACCCAATTATTGCTTAACTAGAATTCGACTCGACCCTATTATTGTTAACTCGAATTATTAAAGGTAATATTGTCGAAGGTACTATTATTAAAAATCATTTTAAGTTATATACAGAATCTAACCTTTATTTATATCATTTTACATATAGGCGCAAATTGTATTGGCTTTAAGAACCATATCTTTGGTTGCTATTTAATTGATTTCGTCAAAAAAAAACTCGTTCTGCTAGTAACTTGTTGTTGCTTTAATAAAATAATTTATTAATTAATGTTCAGTGATCAATAATATATTTTCTTTAATCTCTAGCCATTATTACTAAATGAGGATGCTCACTTCAGAATTTAATTGGATAAATAAATTAAATGATATATATAATTTATCATTAAATACATACCTTACACCAAAGAATATCTTTGATTTCGTGGGGCATTTAAATCTTTTTACCAAAATTATGATTTAAAATTACATCATTCTTCATCATCAATATTTTTCAACTTTTAAATCATTTACTGCAGGCGCAAAATCAAAAACAGTTTCTTTAGCATAATGAATAAAGCTTTGCTTCCATTCCATTAGAGATGTTTAGCGATCCTTAACCTGTCCTTACGATTTAAGAGATTACTAACTCTAGAGATGTCTAATCACTTGACACCTAAAACCAATGGATTAGTTGAACAGTTTAATCAAAGGTTATATGAAACTTTGGCCAAATTTGCGAATGACAAAAAAGACGACTGGGATTTATGTATAACTTCAGCTCTCTTGCATATAGGACTAAAAGGCGGTATATATAATAAAAAGTTGCATAAATAATTAATTCGTAAAAGCGAAATGATATTCAAAATTGGCAATTTTAATGGGACCGTTAATTTTGGGACCGGTTCAAGGGACCCGATCATAAACCTAAAATTTTAAATTCTGGGATTCCAAGAGGGTTCATTATTATTTATTTCATTGTAGCTCATTAAAACATTATGATAGTCAATTTTAATAATAAACATTGTAAAAAATAATTCTTTGTAATTTTCTTCGAGACATTTAGGATCGCTTAAACAATTCCTAGTTTCCATTTTGGTCAAAACTTTTTATTTGTTGACATTTTCACTAACATTAAATAGAAATATTATGCAAAATAGGTAAATGAGAAAAGGAATAGTTCATTCTGAAATGTTTATTATAAAAGGGAATGATAGTCGAGGGTAAATATCCGAAGACAAGAGTATTTATGGAAATTCATTAAGCCATTATAAGAATTTAAACCGAGGGGCTGAAACTGTCCTTGCATACATAAAAAGAGAATTTTTATCCTTGGAACAAGTGTAAAAACTCTAATTACATAATGGTTTTAATAAGAAATTTTGATTATTTTATTTTTTAGGCTAGATTAATTCATCCCTTTTGGCTAGAATTATCAATTTTCGTTGCTACAGAATAGGTTGTGTTGTTAATGAATTCTTTGATTTTATTGATATCATTATCTTAAATATTAGTAATCATAATCATTATAATAATCATTATTTTTTAATTTATTTTAAATTTTTTTACATAATTACATAATAAAATTTACAAAAAAATTCTTTCTTTATTTATTAATATGATTCTCCTGTCCCAACTTTTTTTTTAAAAATCATATATAAACAACCGTTGTTCCTATCAATATTGGTATTGATATATAAAAACCTAACCAAATTTATACCTATTCTTAAAATAAATCAACTTAACCTTAAATACACTAACTCGAATTTTACACCATCGGGGTTTCTTATCCTTCGATAACCTTGACTATGTGATCATCAAGATTTATGCTCGTCGTGTTTTGTTTGTTTCGGGATTATTATATCAATATTTTGGGTATCAGTCTTATGGTTGTCAAAATTTTATGGAACCTGTAGATAAAAAGTTATCTACTTGGGTTTCTTTGCTTCTAAAATTGATGAATTTTAATAAAAACTTTTTTATGTATTATAAGTTTTCTATGTAAACAGATTTCATTGCATTGAGCTAATCATAATCCGATTTTTCAGTATTCCAAAACAAATTTCCATACTTAATTCCGCAAAAGAGTACAATGCTGTTTAAATTTTCGCTGATATAAAACAATATTTAAATTTTTAATTTAATATTTGAAAATCATGATAATTTTAACCGAAAAAATACCTAATTTGGAAACAAAAAAATTAGCTGAGAAACTTCACTTTCCATAAATATATATATATATATATTTTTTTTGTGATTCATTACAAATATGAGCAACAACAATATTTGTACAAATTTGTCTTACATTAATTTCAAACTTATTTATTACTTAATAAAGGATATGTCACAACTAAATATTAAGAAAGCAGTACAATAATCATACCTAGCGGCGACGAAGTCGCCGCGCACAACCTAATCTAGTTTATTGAATAAAAATGACGCTAAATTTATTTATTAATATCAAAAATCAGTGTTGCCCCAACGTCGACGCTTTAAACTTTCGCAAATGTCAATAAATTAAACTAAAAAATGCCAATTACTAATATTCTAATTAATTAAAATTATGCTAATAATAAAAATTGAGTAATAAAATAATAAGAATTAAAAAATAACGAAGTTACAAATTAAAAAATAATAATGTTAAAACGGCGAAAGCGAAAATATCGCGAAAGGATAAAGAAAAGTTTTGAAGGTTTATATATGCATGTACAAGAAGGGCGAACGTGGAATGTGTGGGCTGTTTAGGATTTCCAGTCATATTTATAAAAAAAAATTTATTAGGACCGCCTGGCATCCTACCAATCTGGCATCCTGGCATCGTGCCAATCTGTCGAAATGACTAATTGCAATATCGAAATAATCTGTGTTCGTCGTTATCTAATATTTCAAAAAAAATTATTATTTATTTACGAAGTAGAAAAGAGAGGAAGTTACTGTCGATTGAAAAATTGTAAATAATACCGATTGCCGAACCAAATAATTTTATGGCAGGAAAACTTCACCTAGAATAAAAATGATTTGATCAACTGAAAATTTAGAAGAAAATTACAATTATCTTTTAGGCAGTAATATAATAGTTGCACAATTCTTTTATGGTGATAAAGTTCCTTTTTTTTAAAAAAAAAAAAAATAAATAAATACATTATTTTTTCATCTTGCGCAATTTTTTTCTTTTTTTCAAACTACAAAGCAAATCAACCAAAGTATATTTGATCTTAATTTTTAATGCACGCAATGTTTAACGATAGTATAATTAATTAATCAATTTCGTCCCTAAATAAAAAAATAGGAATATTAGCGTGCGTATTGCACCGGCTCCAAATTGGAATGCTAAAAATTAACTTGACCACTAATAAGATTAGATTTATGCTTATTTATACCCCTTTGGTTTATAAAAAGTATTCAATTAAAATTTCTTCTTGAGTATTCAACAAATTATATTTACTACTAGAAAACTTCATTCATTACTACATCATATCTTCAAAGAGTTGTTTTGCTTAGGTACTGATATAACAAATTGCTCTTGCTGTAGTATCAATACCTCCAGCAGCTGTTACCAACGATTGCTTTATCAGATATTAGATCCCGCACGTATTAATCTCATTTGCAATTTTCTCAGTAATACTATCGGTGTTAGGACCTTAATACGGGAGAATCTTTTACTTTGGAGACGTATTATTGGAATGCATAAATTTTTTAATAGTCGTAATGCGAAATGATATCAGTAATAAATCTAAGCAAACAAATGTTATAAATCTAATTCAATACTATCATTTCCACCAAGTCTCATCTATTAAACTTTCACTTCTTCAAATATTCCTTCTGTCCATGATATAGCTCGCCTAACGAATTTTGATGACATAATAGCTCGTTTAAAATTTACGTAATATATCTATGTATCATGATATCTATTATATAATGAAAATATTCCATTTGACATACTATTAAATTGGTTTAATCCATCCATCATTTAGTGGTATACGTAAAATGAAATTACATTTTTGTAAAAAATTTTCCAATCAATCTGATCTGCCTAATCCGATATCCAATATAGAAATTCTAAATTTGTCATTTTTTTTTTAACATTTCGGAGAATGCAGAATTTTTTCCGGGATGTTGATATAGATTCCCTATAAACAGTAATGAAATTGGACCACGGAATCGGGTTAAGATGATATACTTGAAGAAATAGATGGTACACTCAACTAGCAAAAATGACCGACCAACAATAATTTTGCGATTAAATACCTAATTTTGAAATAAGTATATTTCGATAATTTACATATTTATTTCATATAAATTTTATATTATTAGATAGGTAAGAACTTACATTTTAATATTATAACATTATTTCCATTCGATTTTATAATTCAACCATTTTTTCTTAGTAGCTAAATAAATTCAAAATTTTTTCGTTTTACTGTCGCTAATAGTAAACTCTTCGCATTCAATGGGTATTAATTATAAATATATACTATCTTATACAGATTTGTAGCCCGAGATTAAGTCTAAAACCTTACTTATGTTGAAATTTAACGAAATTTAATGAAAATTGGAACTTTACTTAGAAGTTACTATTAATATTTAAATTTTATATATAAATCTAATTTATTCAATAAATATTAATTATAAATATAAATTATTTTACAATAATTTGTAGCTCATATCATAATCTAGAACTTTACTTATTACAATATTTTATAGTTATTATTAAAAATAAGAACTTTACTTAGACATGACTTTTAATTACTAGTTTCAGAAATTCATATGACGATCATCATTCGATACACATTTTTAATTTACAATTTCTCAAAAACTCGCTTATCTTTTCAAAGGAATTTTTTAAGAAGTTATAAAGTATAATTTTATTGTATATATTCAATATAGTGTAGGATTGCCTTTAGATTTTATAACAGCTTTAATACGACGGGGCATACTTTCTATAAGATTATTATAAACAGAACTATCTAACTTTGACCATTCATCCTGCAAAAAATTGAATAATTCTGTTTCATTGGTTGGTAGTGGAACACGTTTATGGACTCGACGTTCCAACTCATCCCAAATATTTTCTATGGGATTAAGATCAGGGCTCTGAGGAGGCTATGAAATATGAGAAACATTATTTTCTAATATCCAGTCCATTGTCCTTTTTGCTCGATAGATTGGTGCATTATTATCTTGGAATAAATAATCATCTTTTGATATTTGTCAACCATTAATTCGTACTAATGGACCTAAACCAGCTGAACTAAAACACCCCAAAACCATAACTCCTTTTCAGCCAGATTTAAATGTTGGTATAAGACAGTTTACATTGTACTTTTCCTTTGGAAGTCTCCAAACATTACGACAACCATCATCTCCATACACTTCAAAGCGAGATTCATCACTCCATATAATATAATCCCATTCAGGATCCCAATCTACTCTTTCTTTTGTTCATTCCAATCATTTTTTATGATTTTTTCATTAACAAAAGACTTTCTTTTACCAATACAAGAAAAAAAAGCCTTTTTTATGAAGGCAACGTCATAAAGTATATGTAAAAACTTTAGTTGATGTTTTAATACATTTAAAGGAACTTTTCGGTCTTCTTTAACAACATGAATTAAATGACGTTTATCACATTCAGTTAAAATAGGTTTTCTGCCACTTCGTGAAGGTAGTTTTACTTTGCTAGTATTTTTATAATATTTTATCACATCTTTAATAGTAGCACTAGCAAAATTTAATTTTTCTTTAATAACAAGAAGAAGCATATCACAATTCCAAGCACTAATTATTTGGTTGCGTTCTCCTTCAGATAATTATTTCCTTTTTGACATTATATATTTAAATATATAAATTATTGCGACTATTGCGGTTGCTACAGTTGCTGCGGCAAATTTATTTATTTGATAATCATTTCTTAATTTAGTTATTTTTGCTGCATTACGATGATCACATCTCAATTTAGCATTAACTGTATTGCGATGATCTCTGTAAGCATTTATTCAATACATCAAAAAATTTAGTATAATATACTCGATTAACACTAAAAAATTAAAAGTTTAATTATAAGCGAAAAATTTGATAAAAATTACAAATTTTACAAAAAATTTTGTAATATAAAATTCAATAAAAGTCCCAAATTTTATAAGATTTTCAAGAAAGATACAATTCATTACGATGTACAAGTTTACTTATAATACCAAAGTCAATTTAATTAATAAAAAAAAATTTTTCTTATGATGCTAATGTATGTATTATTATTCCGATTTTGGAAAAGTCAGTCATTTTTGCTAGGTGAGTGTACATATGTGATTATTCCTATTCTTACATTCATGTAATACTTGAAATATCCAAATTTTTTTTTAAAACAATTAAATATTGAAGCGCAAAAAAATACTTTTTTTCTACGTAAATAATATTACTCTGCAACTATTAGCATAATGCTTGACCCAAAAATTTTTTCATTATTTGGATTTCAGTCGAATTGCTGTGCATATTTGAACGGTGCATCATAATAAAATGCTTGCTTAATCTAATCAGAGTTTACTAAATACCATTTTTTTAGCAATATTGTAAAATTGAAACGAAGTATCAATGTCACACAATTTTTTTTTAACAATAATAATTCCCAATTACTGTGTGTACTAACTATTTTTCTGCGTTTAACTTTATTCTAACATACAATGTTTTCATCTTTTAATACACACCTTATAAGAATGATAAAGATAAAGGATGAGCATTTAAAAACCATAAAAATGTTTACTTTTCATTAACTTAATTTACTACGCACTTAATAAAATAACATTTCTTTGTATTAAAAAAAACTACTTAAACATTTCCATATTATAATAAGTAAGAAAGTTACTAAAAGGAGCTATAAATGTTTTAAAATGAGTCTTTTTAAACTATATTCACGTTTGAGTAATTTACGATCTATTATTGACATTTGAATTGTTTAATTTCACAATTCTTATTATGGTTTAAATCCCAATTAGTACTATTATCAGTTGAACATATATCAAAGGGATCTCGAAGAAACTTAAGTTCATTTATTTGATCATCTGAGGCAGCTATTACACAGTTATCCTTTCCGATTGTAGGACAATAAATATGACCATAATCACAAGGTTTTCCGCAAAATGAAGGTTTCGGATCACATATCTCAACATTATAATGTCGTAAGCTAGTGCTTATTATTGATGCCGCCATATTATTATATGTAGTTAGTTTAACAGAATTATATACGTCATCATCATTGTCAAGCATTTGATCATAATTTACCCCTTGATTAATAGTAAAGCTTGCTAATAATGACTTATTTGCAGTATAAAAATTGTTGTTTAACGTTTCTTCGAAATGAAATTGGAGAGATTCACTTGCGGCTGATAGATATGATGAAATATCTGGATAGGTTTGACCATTTCCGGTAAATGATTGATGAACATCCTCTATTAAACTTGGAAGAAAGTACATATTCACCATGCTAGCAGTAAAAGCTCCTATATTATCGATCGGCATATCCCTCTTATGTGGTAGCGGGAACCCATGGAGCCTATTTATAGCTGCAAGCATTTGTGCAAGGTTCGGGTTTTGAGAATGACTATAGTATTGTGCAATTCGTTCAATTGCAATTTCTTCTCTGCATCCAGAATTTACGCACAAGTCTACCAACCTTCTAATTCTATCGAAATCTTTAGCAGCTCTCCTAGATCTTGAAGCGGCATTAGATGCTTGCGCTGCAGTTCTCCAACCTACCGCTACATTTCTGGCTACCGTTCCTTCAGCTGCCGTTGCTATTACATCATCTGCAGCACCAATTTCGGCACCAAGTTCGGAGGTTTCGGCGATGGTTTCCGCGATCTCATCTACAGCTACTACTTCGGGAGCTACTTCCGCAACCATAGGAAAAGCTATAATAGCCATGGAAATGGCTAAAGGAATTAAAGCCGCATAGAGCACGTTATGTTTAGGCGGTGGCGGCGGCGGTGGTTGCAATTTTTTTAGATTATCGGGAGTCATTTTATTACTTAGTTCATTAAGGGCATCATGGAACCCTCGATGGTGACGCTCCCAATAATTAAATAGCTTGTTTGCCGAATCAATCATGTGATATGTAGCAATACTATAACCATCAGGACTGAACGAGCTGCCTGTACCGAACTGAAGAGATGCAGCGTATGATCCAACTTCATGACCAGTCAAATAATCGATGCATTCGGCTATATGTTCTGTTTGAATAATTGCCAAATCGGGATAATCTGGGTGTTTACCTTCACTGCAATACTTTGAAGTAAGATGAGGTGGAAATACATGATTCGAGTCAGGACTGTTTCCCTTATATGTAATTTTAGGGGTCGGAATTAGCTTCATAGTGTAATTACTTAAATTACATTTGTAGTTATTAATGTTTTTTTCGGTATACGTTGAAACAGTAAGATCATCCCTGTTTATTTCCACCATAAAGCTGAAATTACAATCATAGGTACATCCCCACATAGTGATGTTCAAAGTTGTTAAAGGTGGATCATGCCTTTTTATTTTAACTTGCCTGACCAAAAGAGACGTCGAATAAGTAATGCCATCATCGTTTATATGAAACGCCGCACGATTAGAAGGTACGACCTGGTCGCACATCTTAAAATCATGTTCTACGGTGATCCAATCGGCAATAACTGCAGATAAAAAATGTATAAGAATGTATAAAAAACCTTTCTTCATGAATGAAATAATTTTTTTTTTTCCCTTGTCGTAAAAATCAGTCAACCTTATATATAGTATATTTAACTTTGAAAAATTTGCAGACAAACCATTTCGATAACCTAATTCTTTTTTTTTATTCAACATTTAAGGAAATCAATCATCCTTTTGATTTTGCGATCTTCATTATGATGAAACCCTAACCGCAGTCGATCTTTACTTTATTTAATCCATTGTAGAGATTGGAACTTCATTTCATCGGTGATTCACCACCATTGAGTTATATCCTATGAAATGGGAGGCTTACGAACATAGTAAATCATACTATCCGTAAAGTAATTTAATAGGATATGCCTACACTGATGAATAATGATAGTTGTTATTAAAATTTTAACCAGTTAACCAAGTTCGGTTAATCGGCTAAACCAGCCTACAATATATTCGAAATTCATATATATTCGGAAAGTCCTCATCCGCCTTTAGAATTTCATATTGAGAAATAAAATTAGGGCCAATTATCTTCATATTACTAAAAAAAAGTGCAAGAATTGTATTAGGCTGCGCTTCGTATTACAAAATTTATAAGGTAAAATTAAGAATAAAATTTCGGAAATTTCATTCTATAAAACCTAAGTTCGAATTAAAATTCGTTTAAGATCGGCGATATACTGTATATTTTCGAAAATTCCATAATTTCGCATGCATGTAAATCATTTTGCCAGATGCGGATGCTAGGGCCGGCCTAATAATTATTTTTTCTTTTTAGTTTTCCTTAAACATACCACGCGCCTTTATTATATTTGCATATATACAACTTGAAACCCTTCCTTTAACCCCTTCGCGATATTTTCGCTTTCGCCTTTTTAACTTTTTAAATTTATTATTGTAACTTCATTATTTTTTGTAATTACTGATTTACTTATTATTTTATTATACAATTTCGTAATTGCACAGTTTTAATTGTCATTTGTTTAGTTTAATATATTGACATTGCGAAAGTATAGAGCACCCACGTTGAGGCAACACTGATTAATTTGATTAATTTGATATTATTTAATAAATTTAGCGTCAATATTACTTTACGTCATTTTTACACAATAATAAAACCTGCTGCTTACATTACGAGTTGTTATAAATACAACTGACCAAACTTACCGGATATACTCAAATGAAATTCGATCAAGACACATTTTAAACTTAGCCTATCAATTTTATTTATTTTTTTTTAATCAAAAAATCATATTAAAAAATTCATCTAAGCATCTAGTTTAAAAAAAAAAAAAATGTTAATTTTACGAACCGAACTGAATTTTATTTAAAATGGTTTGATGCTTTGCTGTGAAAAGAGAAAACCAAAAAAAAAATAAATTTTACTTTTATGCTAATATGATTTTTTTAGTAAAAATAAGACATTAAAGATTACAAACGCTTTTTTTTTACAGGTTATATTTACTTATTTTTGAACTTTAACTTTATTTTTGTCTTATGAATACAAGTTGTAATTATCGTTTAAACGTCCCATTTGATTTTGTTGATCAATCAATCGCTTCTATTAAGTAAAGGGGAGAATACTCAATTATACTTATGCGTGAGAATAAAAGTTCGTCGGAGAAACATTTCGGATTTGAAAATTGTTGAATCTGCTAACAAATAAATCTGTCACATGCAAGGGCGACTTCACATGTTTCTTAAAACGTATATATGTGGTTCTTTGCTCTAATACTTACTTGCGATCATAGATAATTTGTTTATATGAAATAACTTTGATGTATAACAGACAGTATTGTTAAAATGAGACGAAGTTTAATTAAGCCTGTATGCTCTTTTTTACACTTACCAACATTACTACCCACGTGAAACATGAAATAAATCACGTGATTTATTATCAAATTTCTATTCTTCAAATAAAAAAATTTATACTAACGAATTGTTTTGATCAAATAAAATCTATTAAATAATTATATCTCATTTTAGTGAAATAAATGACAGATTCAACGATTGGATTACTTATTGTGCAATAGGATTAGCTCCCGTTGAGGAAATTAAGATTTTTAAATTAACTTCGCTAAAT